CGCTGGCGGGAGCCGCGGTCGCCCGGGCCGAGATTGGGGGGGCAAGGCGGGCGACAGAAGGCCGATGCCTCCGTCGCCCGGCCCTCTACAGAATCCACCCCCCAAACCTCCAGGTATTTCCCTCCTTAGAGCTGGCAACCCTACATTCCCCTCAGTGCCTGTTGGTAGGCAACTAAGCTTGGTCCTGTCACCTACTTTGGCCTTTGGGAGAAAACACATTGGGGCCAATCCTGATAGGGTTGCCAACTCCAGATGGGAAATTCCTGGAGACTTGAGGGATGGAGCCTGAAGAGGGTGAGGTTTGAGGAGGGGTGGGACCTCAGACAGGTACACTGCCATAGACTCCACCCTCCAAACCAGTCAGTCTCACATAGGGAACCATTGTTGCCAATCTCCAGGTGAGGGCTGGAGAGCACTCAGTATTACAACTGTTCTGCAGAAGGGAGGGCAGAAGTCAGCTGAAGTCAAAGGGGCAGATAATGGTAGGTTGGTGGCTAGCTGGGAAGGAGATGGGGTTGCCAACTACATGCTGACAAATTCCTGGGGATTTGAGGGGTGGAGCCTGGAGAGGGTGGGGTTTGCAGAGGGGTGGGACCTCAGACAGGTAGAATGCCATAGACTCCACCCTCCAAACCAGCCATTTTGTCCTGGGTAACAATTGTTGACAATCTCCAGGTGAGGGCTACAGATTACTCACAATTACAACTGCTCTTCAGGTAGCAGAGATCAGTTCCTCTGGAGAAAACAGTGGACTCTGTCATTATACCCTGCTGAGGTCACCACAGCAAATTGACACTGTTTGCCCAAAGCCAGAGCACTGCCCCAGAGCCTCTTTCTAGATCCCGTTGTATTGCTTTCACAACGGGCTTTACTGCTAGTATATTTAGAATACAGAAAATAACTTTAAGAAAAGGGTACTTATTAAAAAGAATGTCAATCAATTTGATTCTAAAATAATCACCATTTTTTGTCAATGACTTTGCCTCAGCAATAAAACTGAAAATTGGTGGCCCAGTCTCTCTGTTTTCCTTTTTCCTTATCCTTCTCTTTCTTTCAGTTCTTTTCCTTAAGAATAATGGCTGTCCCCTGCTGCCATTTCACATGGCTCCTGGAACCCACTTCCTTTGGTCTCATACTTGCCATTCCTATCATTCCTCCTCTCTACTATATCATTCTCCACTATATCATAATCTTTCCCACTTCTTTCCCATCACATAAGCACATGTCACCATTTGCTTCATTCTCAAAAAATCCTCCCTTGATTAACACTGCCTCTTCAATTATGGTCACAATTCATTTCTGTCTATCCCTTTCAAACTGAGATCTGATGTTTACCCCTGATGCCTTGAACGGATCCCTGTAATTTGGTTTCTGTTTTCTGCCCTCTTCTGAACATGCTACCAGACTGTTCTTGCCCTCTTTGATCTCACTGATGCACTGAGATAACTGGTCATCCTGCTCTCCTTTCCTATCCAAAGACCTCGCATATCATCAATCCTAGTTCTCTTCCCAGCAGATCACTTTTTCTCTGTTGCCAGAAGGGAAGCGCTTGTTTGGCCTCCCAGCTCTCGACAGGGTTCAGTTTTCTCATCCCTAGTTACTTTCTTTCCATACTAGGGGTGTGCAACCCCCCCCCCCAAAAAAAAACCCACCTCACGGTATTGTTCGGGTTTGGGTATATTGAACCTGAAATATATAGGTATTTCCCAATATTCCCAAATCCTAATACTTGTATGGTATTCGGATTTGGGAAATATTTGGGTTTGCTGAATTTTTTTGGCGGTATCTGGGGTGTTGTGGGTGCTGTTCTTTGAGGTAGAGGCATCAAATTTGCAGCAAAGCTGCTGGTGCCTCTCCTCAAACTCCCCCCCAAGTTTCAAAAAGATTGGACCAGGGGGTCCAATTCTATGAGCCCCCGAAGAAGGTGCCCCCATCATCCATTGTTTCCTATGGTGGTAAAAAGGATTTAAAGTGCTCACTGTCCCTTGAAATATCTTCTCCAAGCTGTGCAACTCTGTGGCAAGTGAACTCTGAAGGCATTTAAAAGGCTCACAGTCCCTTTAAATGCCTCTCCAACCTGAGAGTTCACTCCAAAGGCATTTAAAGGTACCGAGAGCCCTTTAAATGCCCTTTGCAACTGTCTGGCAGTCCCCCCCCTCAAATCCCCATTTTTGGATAGCTGGATAAGTAGCCCACTGCCTAATTGGCTGAACAAATACCCGTAAAATACAGATAAGGTATTTTTCAGGTATTTTTTCGGCTCACTTTATGCCAAATGCACACTCCTACTCCATACATCAAATTCCAAAGCTTTCAGTACAACATATGCACAGAGAACATATAGCATTGCTTCTGTGACAAACAGTTCACTTTTCCTTCCATTTCATCATCTATAATGGCCAGTCTGTAGTTTCTATTTGGATGTCTCATCAACTCAGCAAGTCCATCTCTGGTCCATTTTTCCAGGTTCATCCTGCTAGAAGTTCCTTATCCATCAGTAGCTTACACTGTATTTTATTCCCTGAGGGCATGGTGCAAGTCCTTTATCAGGACTCCTAAAACCTTCCAGTTGCAAAATTGCTTATTTAAAAATTTCCTAATCCAGTTAATTATTATACCTTACCATTGTGCAGTTTGAAGAATATTTGTAAGGCTCAATAGTTTCCAGCTGGTACAACATTTTGCAGACAATAATCACACAAGTCCAAACAGTGCAGACACTGGATGCCAATGGACGGAACTGGGAATATGGTAAAGCAAAAGCCCAGGCAGTCAAAAACACGTAGTTAAGTAGGGAAACCTATAAACATAAAACAATGAAAAAATACAGATTACCTGTCAGCTTTTTGTGAACTTGTATTATGCTACCTCACACTCAACCATCGGCCTTATACTGAAATAAAGAATTGTAACTGCACTCTATGAATCTCATGACATAAGTTTAACATTTTGAAAAATGAACAGGTTCACAATACAGAACAGAATGTATTTAACAGTGCATAGCAGGTGAGAGGAAAATGAACAGCAAAATTAGTCCGACTCCTACAGTTGTATCTCACACAAGATACCCAATAGTCCCCAGCACTGATATTATACTAATTATGCAATGCATTTAAAATGCATAGGATGACACTGTCATATTACTGGCTTGGATCCTGTCTACACTTCTGCAGGCAGAAGGGTTTTTTGGCAGTTCCCCCCTCCTGATCCCTTCCCAAGCTTACATGTAACCGGAGCGGGAAAACTGCTTTGGAACGAGAGACAGAAAATGTATTGACCATTCCACTATTTATAATATAATCAGAGCAGAGGGGAATCTCTCAAGAAGCAATAGTTTACTACAGCTGTAACTTCAGCGGGAATACACAGGAGTGAAAAAGAATAGGTTACTCTTTATGGTGCTGCCAGTGTAACTAGCACAGAAGACAACCAATTTAATTCTGAATATATTGCTGGAGTAAAGAACCACTGCCAGAGAGCTCAGGAGACAATGTTCTATTAGATTTTACTTCATTATGATTCATACACCTTTGGCAGGTAGGCAGTGTATGCTGAGGAAAACTTTTTTTTGCATTATTACATTACAAGGGATGAACATGTGATTATTCAAGAAGAATGGAAATCCCATTCCCCTGCTGGTCTCTGCTTCCCCTCCTGCACTGACTTTGCTTCTCTGAAGGAAACCAACCCCCCCCCCGCCATCGCTTAGTAGAGGGATCAAAGGCCTCTCAGTGGAAGACAGAATCAGCAAATAGCTTCCAATCCTTTCCCCTCCAAATCAGTCTCTGCTGTCTCTTGCACTGGGTATGCTTCTCCCCACTTGTCTCTACATCCCCAAGTTTAGCTCTGCTTTCCCTCCTGCTATACTTTTGGCTCCAACTTCTCTTCTCGCCATTAAAATCCTATTTTATACAAATGTCTGTGCATGCACAGAGAGTGCTGTTAACACTTTGGTGCTTTGTTTTGGTTTTTAAAGCCAATTTTTTCTGCAAGCTTGGGTGTTACCCTGGATTTGTAGAACTCGAAACTGTAGTTATCAGTGGTTTCATTCTGCAGATTTTTTTTTCTGACAATCACATATCAGGATACTGTAATTATTATTATACAATCAATGCATATGCCACTTTGCAGACTGACATAAGTTTTTTTTAACAAATCTCTTCTATAAGGAATTTACAATCTAAATATCAACAGCAGAAAAGATTACAAAGGAGAGGTAGGAAGTGGAGAAGCAAAGGCTACTGTGAATGAAAGGCTCACTTAGGCTTATTTCCAAGTAGGAATGAAAACTAAGCAGTTAACTAAGCAGGCTTCATGAAAATTATATTTTCAGAAGGTATTTAAAGGACCCTACAGGCATCAGGAAAAATAAAAGGAAAATAGATGGACTATTTAAGAAAACAAGAGTTTCAAGCACTGAAGGTGACAGAGTTGGAGAAAGATCAAAGGAAGCAATATAATGGGAAATAAGAGAAGAGAGATAATGTGACATTTAAGAGGCTTTTTAAGGTGAGTAATTTTTACAAGACAGCACAAGGATAAGAGGAATAAATTATTTCAGCAGTGAAATAAGGAGAAAGTATGGTGGTGTAACAAAGATAAGCAAGAGAAAAGTAGGGATGGGCACGGACTGGACCATAGACCTAATTTTATCATGGACTGGGGACCGGTTTGTGGTCTGTGAGCCTGGTCCATGCAATTGCACCACTTGTGAACCACCTACGGACTGCCATGTTTCCTACAGAGTTTTGTGCAGTCCGTGGGAGCAGTCTGTGAGCCAGACATGCTGACACCAAGGATTGCCAAGGCAACAGGGAATTGCCTTCCCTTCCATCACTGAGGAACAAATTGCCTTCCCTTTACTCCTGGAAATGTGCTGCTGCAGCGCAACTTCAGAGAATGAAGGGGGGGGGCATGTTTAAATGCCTTCCCTTCCCCAGTGAAGGCAATCGGCCTTCTCTTCACTTGTGGAAGCGTGCTGCTGCTGCAGCGTGACTCCGGAGAGTGAAGGAACAGTATGTTTAAATGCCTCACAGCTGTGCCTCACTTGCTGAGATGCACTTCCAGGAGTGAATGGAAGGCAATTTGCCTTCCCTTTATTCCTGGAAGTGTGCCTCAGCAAGTGAGGGGAAAGCGTTTTGAATGCGTTCCCTTCCTGAATCCAATGAACAATGATTTGGTCCATAAAAATCCCAAAACAATGAACCTCCATGGACCTGTATTTTTTTGGTTCATACCCATCCCTAGTTGCAAGTTTAAATGGGACATGATCAGAGCATAAAACATAATTTTAGCTAAAAAGAAACAGGTGCATTTCTGCAATCATGCACTAAATAAATAAGATGACTTGGGTAGCCACCTACCAAGCTGTATATTAAAGTGCAAGGTATATATTTTTTTAAAAAAATAAAGGTTATATAGATGGTGTTAGGACATGTCACAGCTGAAGCTAAGTTTGCATTTTAATAAATGTAAAATAAGTCTAAATGTGAAAAGCTGTATTTCAAATTCTGAAATGCAAAATTCATATTTTGAACACCAAATGAATTGTCAGGATTTTGACTGCATGTACTCATTTTAGAGATAAGCCTTGTATTCATGCCAAAAAGTTATTTTGGAAACTCAAATGTCCCATTTTCAAATTCAAAATCCAAAGTATCATATTTTCAAAATGTCCATGATTTAATTTTATATGTCAGCACTGACACTTTTCTTTAAAGGAATACAGGGAACACGTCAGACTCAAACTTACCACAGAATTCCTCAGATGTATTTATTAAAGTGGGTTGATCATCTGGCCTAAGCTTTAGATGTTTTACTTTAGTTAAGGAATTAAGAAACAGTTTGGGATATCCAATATTTACTTGCCTCTTTTATTGTCACCCAGATAATGTATGATGAAACAATTTTGATAATGTGTAGCTCCAAAAGCCACCAGATAAAGACTTGCAGTTTATGAAAGTATTCCAGGAATTTCAAGAAAAGCACTGTGAGGCGGTCAATCACCAAATGCCACTTGTTCTTTAAATCTGCAAAGACAAGCCAACACAGTTGGTGAAGTATTTCTGCTGCCTTTATGAACATGGCTTCACTTATTGTCATGCAGAAAGGGGAAATCAACTGAAACAATGTATAAATCCCAGGAGTTTCATTTCTTAAGCTAAAATGTTTATTCCTAGTTATATTACAGATTTCATAGATGAACAGGAGAATTTAACAAAAATTAGCTCCACCATATTTTCCCACAAACTTAAAAAAATCATCAATATGAATCAGTTATTACATTTTTTGTTTACTGATTTCTTAGACTGCATTAGTAACTAACAAAATGCCTACCATCATTACACAGTGTGATGGTGGTTGGAGTAGGGCTTGTACCTTACAAGAACTACTTGAAGCGCAGTGCATAATTTGGAGGCTGTGTCTGTGGAAAAGGGAATCTGGGGAGGAATTTCACCTAGGATCTGTGGTATACCATACAATTTGTCCTTCAAAGCCACCCTTCCTTCCCAGAAAACTGATATCTGTAGTCTGGACATCAGTGGTAATTCTAGGAGAACTGCAGGTTGTGGGCAACCCTAGCACCCCCACTTTAGTGCTGAGGCCTACTGTCTCCCTCCCCATCCCCAAGAGCACATTAAGGCCAAATAAGGATGACATAAAGAGACTCAGGCTGGTGGACAAAAGACTGAAGGAGAGCTGCATCTAATCACACTAGTGAACAGTGCTCTGAAATGAGTCTGGAAGAAGAAGAAAAATCTGAGACAAAGCCTTATCCAAAAGATGCATTCAGAGGTGACAGATCATAACTAGAAACCGCAATAATGTAATCAGTTTGTCTTTGCCACAAGAGACCCTTCCCTGTCAACACTAGGAAGACCTCTTGTTTACCTCCAAAGCAATCTTACCTGTCATTATTAACATATCTATTACCTCAACAAGAATCCATTTCCATATTTGGAACCATTTCTATAATCAGTCTGAATTGCTGAGACAGTGAAAATCCTATGTGCTGTTGATGCAGAACTTAACAGTGAATGTGTGTAGGGGCAGGGAAAGAAATAGAACAAAAACAGCAATTGAAAAAAAAATGTACAGAAACAGGGGAAAAAAGGATTTAAAAATTAATTTATTAAAGTATTTATACCGTGTCTTTTCTCTTGGCTCAAGGCTACAGAAAGAGAGAGCCAAATTAAATGCTATTTTTTTTTTATTATTTATTCGAGTATTTCTACCCCGTCCTACCCCACGAACGGGGTACAGGGAGTGCAGTGAAAAGTAGTGGGAGAACATAACCTGGGAGGTCCATTCTTACAGAAAGCAAAAGTGTGTGTGTGGGGGGGGAGATGAAAGATTTCTGTGCTGGGAAAAAAGAAAACCAAGGGTAATAAATGGAAGGACTAAGAACTTCAGTGGTGCAAGAGTTCTGTGGATAACACAGAGCAAAAGGTAACTGTGATGCCAGACCCTTCGGTGGGGGCCCACTGCTGCCAGGTCCCACCTCTCTGCTGCAGATAAACTGGCTAGTGGGGAGGGGAATTACCCCCAAAATGAAGGAACACATGACATTTCAGTGACATGCCTATGTGACTTCAACATTACCCAGAAGTGACGTAGGCATGTCAGGGAGATGCTCTGGTTTGGGGGCAAAAACTCTATCATAGAAACTAATTCTACCATAGAGGTTTTGCATAAAAGCCAGAGTGTCACCCCAACATCCCTGATGGGCCTACGTCACTTCTGGGTCACAACTAGGGCTGCCAAGTCCCCCCGGGGACCGGAAATCCCCCCACCCCAGAGGCCCGTTCCCAGACGCCGGGGAATCGGGCCCCGGGGGGAACCCCGCCCCAGCGTGCACGTCACAGGGAAGTGACATCATGATGCTGGGCACGCTGGGGGCGGGGCCATGGCCATACAAGGGAAAACTCTATGGTTTTCCCTTGTATGGTCGTGGCCCCGCCCCCAGCGTGCCCAGCGTCATGACGTCACTTCCCTGTGACATGCATGCGGTGCTCGCGTGCGTGGCAAGACCCACCCCAGAGTCCCCCGCCAGCAAGGTAAGTCGGACTTGGCAACCCTAGTCACAACTGGAAGTCACGTGGGCACATTGCTGAAATGTTTAAAGAAACTCCCAACTCCTGGTAAACTCTGAACTCCCCAACTCCGCTGGAGGGACCTGGCAACCCTGAACTGAGAAGTGAGAGCTCAGAGCAAGTTGTGGATAGATGTAGCATAGATGATGGTTCAGACCTATAGTGGTGGGCTGTTCCAAAGTGCAGACAGATAAAAAGATTAACAGAGAATGGATTTAAAAACATACTAAGAATAACAAAAATAACTTTCTACAGTTAATACTGTGATAAGACTTTTTTCGCTTGGTTATACAGAAGTGTCCCTCAACCCTGAGTTGTGAACTAGTCCTCCAGAGTGATGTGGCATGTTGGAAACTAACTAATTCACACTCAAACACGTGCACACATAAATTAAGCCTACCTTCTGTAAGCCATTGTCTGTTTCTGGTTGCTACTGGATGTACCCATTCCAATACATGAGGCAGTGGAACTCTACACCCCACTATTCTAGCCAAGGAATGGCCTGGTCTGTTCTATACTGGAATGCTGAAATGTAGTATGAAGTAATCATCATATCCCATATTTTGATTATTAGTACAAAAATGTCTCATATCTATTTTTTTTTTCAAATTTCAGCTCTTGAGTAGCCTGGAAGTAATGTGGCCATTACTAGGGGTGCGGATTTTTTTTCCCCCTTGGTATTTTTTGGTTTGGATCTATTGGACCCTAAAAGAATTCAGGATTCTCAAAAAAAAACCAAAACCCAGATCCCAATACCGGTAAAGTATTCAGATCCAGGATTTTCTGGAACACCTGCATTTTTTCAGGTCCAACAGACCCAAACTAAAAAACACAGAGGGAAAAAAAGCAGCAGCAAAGCCACAAAAAACAGCACAGAGGTGGCTCAACTGGGGCTCTTTTGAACAGTCCCTTTAAATTGGACTGCCCAAAAAAGTTCATAAAGCAGCTGATCCTTCAGGGAGAACTCTCCTCACAGGCTCAGCTAAGGCTCTGCTGGGCAGCCCGGTTTAAACTGGATTGCCCAACAGAGCCTTCAAAGTACTTGTTCCTGCAGGAGAACTTTCCCTGCAGGCTTAGCTGGTGAGGAGAGTGCCCCCTGTCTGTTTTGTAGGCTGTCTTCTGCAGTTCTTTTAAACATCCCGTTTAAAGGGAATGCAGAAGAAAGCCCAAAAACAGCTGAGTGGAGGGAGCAATCTGCTCCAGCCCCTCAGCTGTTGTTCCAGTTTTGCTGGGAATTTCCAAATATATTGGGGATTTTTTCCAGTTTTTCCAAAAAATCCCACATACATCTGGGATGCCCAAATATATATTTTTGGTTTGGGTAGACCCGAATACACACCCCTAGCCATTATGCTCACCACTTTTCAGTAAGAAAGTTACAAAAGTAAGATCCCCTCTATATCCACTGCCAAATCAATAATAATGATGATGATGATGATGATAATTTGAACTTATAACTGACTGTCTTCTTAGATCTCATAATACTGGTAAAGTTCCCAGATAAAATTTGCAGGACTATGCAGATTTATCCCAGAGAACAAGCCTTCAACCAACAGTAAACTAAACAGAAAAAAACTAAAGAATTTTTCCACAGTTACCTGATATTTCTTCTGTCTCTGATTCATCATCATCATCGTTGTCGTCGTCATCGTCTTCTTCTTCTTCCTCCTCTTTTTCATTCCCGCCTTCATCATCTTCCTTCTCTCTCTCTTTTTCCATTCCTTCTTCTTCCTGTTCTGGCAACATTTTATCCGCTTCCTTTTCAATGCTGGCTTTTAAATTTATCATTGTTAAATCAGGCAGGCTCTCTTGGTGCACCAGCCTATTGACAAGATAAAACAGGCGTGTCAATAATCTGAGCAATTACAAATCCATAAACAATTTTCTCATATCAAACAAACAAGGAGTGCATGGACAAATGGATCTAATACTGTATATACAATGAAAACACTATACTGGATCACGCCATACTAGCAATTATTTTTCACTTGGATTCTAGTTATTTGATAGCAATCAGTGATATTGCCACCTAAACTTGACATTTCCCCCACAGAGGAAAAAATTGTCAGAGTTTAAGATGTAGAAGCATGAAATGACATGTTGGAACAGCAAGCATTTCATGACTTCACATGGGGACTTACTCATTTTGGCGGATTGGTAATTTTTTCTTGATGCTGCTCAAAGTAATTGACACAGAAAGAAAAGGGGAAATGAAAACAGAGGAGTTATAAAAGAAGATCAGAGATAAGACATCATGCTATATAACTCACTAGCATTCTCTTAATCCATCTGTAGCAGCCTTCTGATGCCAGGAGCATGCCATCCTAGCACTAACAGGGTGCTTCTATTAAGATGGAAAGTATATACTATGGTTCCAGAAGAGTTTCTAATCATTCTTGTACAATGTAAGTGAATTCTCTTAAATAGTTAACACAATTCATACTCTGAATATATTTTCATCTTTTTAGAAAGCCAAAGCCAGTGTGCTAGATTCACAGGAGTTTATTTTTTATTCCAAATTCATAAGTAAACACAAGAAACTATGAATTCAGTAGAAAATGTTTAGTTCTCCTCAGTGCCATTGCTTGGTGCTTTGAGAATGAATTTGGAAGAATCTTTGGGCTCACCTGTGTAAGCACTGACTAGAGTTTACTGGTTCGGTTGCAACAACAAACTATGGTTTGCAGCAAATCAGGAAATAACTAATTAGCTTGCAGCATGTCAGGAGGAAAATGGGTATGAATGAGCCTGAAGCTTCTTCTAGAGTCACTGCTCTAGCTCCAAGCCATGGTTCAGAATTATGTCTGAACAAAGCACCAGGTAGGTTTTCAAAATTTCTATGACAAAATTCATACTGATGACTTAAAAGGGGTGCAAGATATTTATTTTAATGAAGAAAATGTTGAACTCATATTAGCAAAACTATAAAGTGTCCTGGAGATGCAGTTTAGAAATATAATTTTACTATAATACCAAATTAATCTTCCCTTAGGAAAACCTGGTTGTCAGGTTACATGAAACTCAACCAAACCTTTAACTTTTGAGATCAAACTTTTCACTTTTAGTAATGAATACTGTTGCCATACAGATGATAACCTATCAGCCAGAATCTCTGATCCACAACAGTATGAAGGTATTCCAATCAGGATGATGTCATTCTTCTAAAAGAAAGTTTGGTCTCAAATACGAAGTTCTAGATAAGTGTCTTAATAGAGAATATTTTGGCAAACATGTCTCTTCACATTTGCTTCTGCCCAGTTCTGTATGGACAATGAAGTAAAAGGCTCGAGGCCACAAATACTTTCTAGATCTAGGATTGCTCATGATAGTAAGTACAGCATCAGGTAGTAAGCATGTCCAGGAGCAGACAAATAAGTGGGAATGCATGAAAACATATTCAGCGATTAATTATAATTAACATTAACATTTGGTCAATAAATCTTCATTTATATTATGAAGCACTGGCACATAATTGCATTTTTATATATGAGACAACTTCAACTACACCTTTTGCAGTCTGAAAATTTCAATTAGCTAATTCTTTTTCATTTAAATTCTAACAATAAAGCATGAATGGTACAGTTAAAAACCTTGAAAATGTACTTTTACACGGTAAGTACCTACGACAATGATTTCCAAGAGGAGAAAAAAAAATCTCTAACAATGTGGTCATGATTTTTCTTTTCAAATAGAAATGGACAAGTTCCTTCCAGCTCACTTTATAGTTAGCTCAGTTCTTCATAGGGTCGCCAACCTCCAGGTGGTAGTTGGAGATCTGCTATTACACCTGATCTCCAGGCAACAGAGATCAGTTCACCTGAAGAAAATGTCATCTTTGGATCGTGGACTCTATGGCATTGAAGCTCCTCCCTTCCCCAAACCCCACCCTCCTCAGGCTCCCCCAAATTTCCAGGTATTTCCTAACCTGCAGCTGGCAACCTTAGTTCTTTGTGCTTCTTTTAGATTACTCGTTAACACCATTTCCCTACTTCCCAAATGTTCATCATGATGAAGCCGCAAGAAAAGTACTCCCTTTTGGCCACCCACATTTCCAAACTTACCCCTGTACTGGGGCAATAAGAGGAAGGATTTCTGTGTCCTGTGAACTGGATACTAATGAAGTGCATGTAATGCCTAAAGGAAGATTTGGAAGTTGAGTTCCCAATGCCTCCTGATTTCAAGTACTGAGTAAAATGGCACTAAAAACTCCCAGGCATTTCTGAGGATACTAGCAGCTGGAACGTGTCAGCACAAATCCAGTGGTGCCAGTGTAAGTCCATTTCAACCTGGGCTCCAAAAAGCAGTTTATAATGGTTCCATGTTTTATGAACTGTGGGAATTAATTTCCAAATTGCCAATATTATGGATTTTGGTATCATCGCTGATCTTGATATTAAATACATTGTGTTAAAATAAATTTCACTGAATTCCTCTTAATTCCATATATTTTTTGCTTGGGATCACAGCCACAATATAATGATGATCATGCATGTTTAAACAGACATTATTTAAAATAATTTAATATTAGGGTAACAAATATGAAAAGCCAATGTTTGTCAGTAATGAGGAGGAGGGGAAGAGGAGAGAAGAGATTGGATTTATACCCCGCCCTTCACTTGGAGTCTCAGAGCGACTTACAAACTCCTTCCCCTTCCCCTCCCCACAACAGACACCCTGTGATGTAGGTGGGGCTGAGAGAGCTCTGACAGAAACTGCTCTTTCAAGAACAGCTCTGACAAAACTATGGCAAAAATATTCACTTATTTACACCTAAAGCTCTGAAGTGCTACCGTAATACTATTTTAAAGATTATTTCATAGTTATATCTATTTCCCCTGAATGTCCAGTTTTCTTCTGTCCTGACTAGTTACCTCCAACCAGCCCAGAGACTTGAACTCAGAGTCCTCAGGGAAAAAGCCTGAGGAACCAAAGCCACCAGCTGAGGAAGACCAGCAAGATTAAGGAGGACCTGCCATGGCAGAGGTGCCAGCAGACGATGTGTCAGAGGCCACCCTATCAGAACCTGCAGGTGAAACCTTGCTGCCAGAACCTGAGATAGCCACCAGGCCTCCACTGCGCAGGTCTGGAACCTGGGCCCATAGCCCCCCAGGATCCATCCCCTCTCTGCAGGAACAGTGGCAACAAAAGTCCCGGATTGAAGTGTCCCAAAGGAGGTCAAGTGCCAGACTGGCTGCGCACAACCCTATCCCAGAGCTACACAGTTAGAGCAATACTTCTTCACAGGATCCTGGCCACAATGTAGCACAGCCACAGGAGCTCAGCACCTGCCAGCAGGGCAACTGAGTCTGATTACTTCCCATCCTATTTCGGTTGAGGCTTGGGAAGGCTGCCTGCTGGATCAACTGGTCCACTAGACGCAAGCCTGCGTGCCAGCTCCTGTGCCCAAGCTTTTCTATCTAAACCCGAGGACACTGCTCCAGAGGAGACCTGACTGGGCTTGTCCGTAGAGCACAGGACAAAACAGAAGCTGTTAACACAGAGACCAGGATCTAAACAACCCATAACAGCAGGGCCAAATCATGTCCTAAACTATGATAACTTTAAGAGGTCCCATGGTATTATCCCCCAAATAGTAATTTTTCCAAGTAACTGATGGGGGGGTGGTATTTAAAAGCCCCTCATAATCTGAGGCCGTAAACTGTCATTTACTTAGTTTGGGTGTAAATCCAGCTCTGAATGAAAGGGTGGAATGTGGGAGGGCATGACAGATGGGCAAAGGTTTTGCCCCTTTCTGTAAGCCACCAATGCCCTTTCCCCCTGTTTGGTGCATGTGCAGAGCAGTGAATAGCCATTCAGGCCTGATGGAATGCTCGAGGATCCAGATGGGAGGGGGGAGTGGAGAAGAAAATCCTTAAACTGCCAGTTTTGAATCTTCAGAGCATGAGACTGGAAGAGTCCTCTCTCAAGATGCTTAACAGGTCTCAAAACCCTGCTTTCAGGGGGGAAAAACAGGCTAGTATAGTAAATGTTTTAGGAGTAGAGTTGCCAGGTCCCCCTGGTCCACGGCAGGGGTTGGGGGGGGTAGGATTGCCAGATCCAGGCTGGGAAACTCCTGGAGATTTGGGGATGGAGCCTGGGGAGGACGGGGACCTCAGTGGGGTACAATGCCATTGAGTCCACCCTTCAAAGCACCCATTTTCTCCAAGAGGACTGATCTCTGTAGTCTGGAGATGAGCTGTAATTCTGGGGGATTCCCAGGTCCCACCTAGAGGCTTGCATCTCTGTTTAGGTGCTAGGGATTGTATCTCCAAGCTGTGAAACTGGAGAGATTTCGCAGGAAAATTTATAAGTCTCAGAGCCTGGCTTTTAGGCAAAGCAGGTTGATTTTGTGAACGCTTTAAAAAGAGAGTCTCAGAATCAAGTTTAAGAGAAAACTGGCTAAAGAACTGGAATTTCCAGAAGGGACTCATACGGCAGGATTCCTAAGGTTGGGAAAAGGCCAAAGAGCCACCTCGAGAACAAACGCTTGGCTGATAACTATTCTCTATACCCAAGAATTGAGAACTGAAACGTTATAGCTAAGTGATCCCAGCAAATGGTGTGTGTTACATTTGTATATATTTCCAGTCCTTTTTACTGAACCAACCCTACTTTATCCAAGAAAGGTAATAAAATCCCCCCCCCCCTATTTACCTCATGCCTCATCTGAAATAACTGCATTTAGAAGCCATTTAGGTTCAGTCTGTCAGGTGGAGGTTAGGAGAGACGCTACACTTGACAAACTTTGCATCTCACTCCCTCTATTCAAACATCACTTAAAACCCCAGCCTTCACAGAAGGGCTGCCAAATTTGTCTTTTCT